AAAAAAGTTTCACCTTTCAGGATGGGGTGTTCCTCTGAAAAAACAAGAAGTTTAATTAATGTTAGATCTAGGCATGGTGCCCACCTTTAATCCCAGCACTCAGGAGGCAGAGGCAGGAGGATCTCTGTGAGATTGAAGCCAGCCATGTCTACATAATGAGTTCCAGGACAGCTGAGGCTACAGGGAGACTCTGCCTCAAAACAACAACATTAACTTTTTAAAATTTCCTTGGGGGTCTAAGGAGATGGCTCAGTCAGTAAAGTGTTTGTCACAAAAGCATGAGGACCTGAGTGTGATTCCCAGCACCTAGCCAAAAAGAACCAGGTATGCCAACTGTGGTGGTACATGCCCATGGGATATGCTGAAGAGGCAGAGACCAAAGAATCATGAGCAAGCTTAAGGCCAGCCTGGAATGCACCTTTAAAGGGGCTGCTCTTAACCACTGAGCCATCTTTCTAGCCCCGACCCCCCAATTTTTGGGTATGTGTGTGTGTAACACAAGGTCTCACTATGTAGCCCTGGCTGGCCCTGAACTCTCTATGTAGCCCAAGCTGGCCTCAAGCTCAAAGAGATTTGCCTGTCTCTGCCTCCCAAGTGTGGGACTAAAGGTGTGCGCCACCTTACCTGGCCCCAAAATTGAATTTTTTAAGAATATGAGCATGTTGAAAGTTTACTGTTCTGGCCTTTTTTTTCTGAAAGACAACATGAAGTTTTAACTTTTTCTATGCTATTGAAAGTTAAATAGGTTCTACCTCTTGCCAATCATCATCAGAAAAACAAGCTAATTCACCCCATGGATATACCCTTTCAACTAAATAGAAAAATCAGAAGGAAAAACTGAAACTCCTACAAGGCAGTTAAATTACCCAATTTACTTTGTTCTCCTCCTATGACAACTGCTGTTTAGGTTTAATTATTTGTTCCTACTTCATAGCATCCAACAGATGCGCCAGCACCCTCTCTGCAGGCCTCTTCAATTACATCTCTATAAAGAAATAGGGGTGAGACAACCTAGGTTTCTGAGAGAATTAAAAGGTTTGCAGATTAACATCTTCCAAATTAGCAGGCTTAGACAGATGATAACAGATTCGGTTCTGTCCTGATCCCTACTGAAAGCAATTAACAAGAAGAGTAACAGCAATATGCTTTACCCTAGAAGTCTGGCACCTCTCTTGGGAAAGAAGGCCTCAAGACAATGCTGACAGCACCAAGTGCTTCAGGATCCCTTAATCTGAAAAGGTGGCTGGTCAAATTCTCCATGGGAACTACTTATCAGAGGGCACCACAGAGAAGACTGGTGGGTGGCTTCTCCACACATTAAGCTTCATGGCAAGAGACTGGATGGGGATTTAGAAAGGATCACACCATCTATTCACTGTGATCCAGATTTCCTTCAGTGCAAACCAACTATCAACACTGTGCCTGGAACAGTGTGAACTCAGTAGGAGATCACTAACTCCTTATGGGGGGAAAATGGCTGGGGAGGGCTGGGAAGATAGCTCAGCAGTTAAGAGTGCTTGCTGCTCTTCAGAGGCCCTGAGTTCCCAGCACCCATATCAGATGGCTCACAAGCACCTGTAATTTCAACTCCAGGGGCTCCAATCCCTTCTTCTGGCTTCCGAGGGCAACTGCATTCCTAAGGCATACACACACATACATAAATCCTAAAAAGGCTGGAGAAATGGCTCAGCAGTTAAAGTGTAGTCGTGAGGACCAGAGAATATGGATCCCCAGAAACCAATATAAATGTTGGATAGATGTGGCAGCATCACTACACTTTCAGTCTCAAAAGGCTGAGACAGGGGATCCCCAGAGCAAGCTGGGGATATAGCAAGAATAGCCATATCAGTGAGCTCTGAGTTTGATTGAGAGACCCTGATTCAATGAATAATGCAGACTAGCAATCGGGATGATTCTTGACATCAACCTCTAGCGTCAGCATACATATGCACCCTACACACATGCAAAACCATGCATATACACAGATGTACATACCACATACACACACAAAAATGGACAAAATGATAAATCCTTATTAAATAAACAAGTGAATAAAAGTTTGGCACACAGAAAGTATTCAATAAATATTTATTAAATAAATGAAGAGAATTGCCAAGTAATGTCCCAGGTATAAGGAAAGGGAGGCATGATATTTACAATGGACCAATGTGTGACAGCTGAGCTCTGAGCTATTAAGAGATAAAATAACACAATGAGCTCTGGGATCAGAGACTATGTCCAAATCCTAATGCCACCAGACACTTACAGAAGGCCTCAGCCAAGTCACTCAAGATCAGCCAAATGGGGATCAGCTTCCCCTTTTGGTATAAAGGAATAATGCCTACTTAGCCTGCATGACTCTTTCATTAATTAGAAAAAGAAAATGTAGATAAATTGCCTAGCACAAAGCCTGGCACATGAAGACTAGGTAGGTGTAGGAAAATGATAAAAACTTGAGCATGTAGTTCATTTGGTGGAGTGCTTGCCTAGCATGCATGAAGTCCTGAGTCTGATTCCCAGCACTGCATGAAACTATGTGTGATGGTACACACCTGCAATCTCAACACTTAAGAGGTAGAGGCAGGAGGATCAGAAGTTCAAGATCGGTTGGGCATGATCCCAACTCTCAGGAGGCAGAGGCAGGCAGAGCTCTGTGAGAATGAGGCCAGCCTGGTCTACATATCAATTTCTAAGCCAGCTGGGGCTACAGGGAGACCCTGTCTCAAAAAAGAAAGAAAGAAAGAAAGAAAGAAAGAAAGAAAGAAAGAAAGAAAGAAAGAAAGAAAGAAAGAAGTCATCCTCAGTTACATATCAAGTTTGAGGTCAGCCTGGGCTACATGAGACCCTATCTCAAAAAAAGAAAAGGTAGATGGTCCAGCAGGTAAAGATGCTTGCTAAGCAAGGCTGACAGCCTGAATTCCAAAATCTCAGATTCCATGGTGGAAGATGAGGATCAACTCCTAAGGACTGTCCCCTGATCTCTATTCACCCACACTCAAACACACATCACACACACACACACACACACACACCACACACACACACACACACACACACACACACACACACACACAAACACAGGTACAACAGGAATATTTGAAAATGTTTAGGGTCTGTAGAGATGGCTCAGCAGTTAAGAGCACTGGCTACTCTTACAGAGGACCCAGGTTCGAGTCCCAGCACCCACATGGCAGCTAACAACTGTCTGTAACTCTAGTTCCAAAGGATCCTACACTTTCTTCTGACCTCCGTGGACACTGGACAACATGGATGCACTTACATACAGGCAGACAATATACTCATACACATAAACTTTTTTTTTTTAATGTTGGGGCCAGAGAGATGGCTCAGCAGTTAACAACATGTTTGCTGTTCTTCCAGAGGACCTTGGTTCAATTCCCAGTACTCACATGGTGGCAAACAACTGTCCATAACTCCAGTTCTAGGGGATCCAACGCTCTCTTCTGGTCTCTGCATTACACACACGGTGCACTTACATACATGCAGGCAAAACACTCATAGACATAAAATAAAAAATATTTTTAAAAAAATTTTTGGTCTTTTTGAGACAGGGTCTCCCTGTAGCCCCGGCTGACCTGGATTCACCATGGAGACCAGACTGGCCTCGAACTCACAGAGATCCGCCTGTCTCTGCCTCCCAAGTGCTGGGATTAAAGGCAGACGCCACCACGCCCGGCTTTTTTTAAATTTTTAAATAAGAAAAAATGGTAAACAGCCAATGCTAACAATTTTCAAATTGCATTTCTTCATTTATTTATTTGGGGGGGGTACATGAGGGCACGCATGCCTGTGCAAATGACAGCTTGCAGGAGTTGGCCCTCTCCTTCCAATTAGGGACTGAACTCAGGTCATCAGGCCTGATGGCAAGCGCCCCTACCCACTAAGCTATCTTGAAAGCTTAATGCTAACGATCTTTTAAAGATAAAATTTTTAATTTTTGTTACATTTATTTATTTACTGTGTATTTATGTGTATATGTGGGAGCCTGTGCCACAGCATGTGTATAAAGGTCAGAGGACAACTTGTGGGAGCTGGTTCTCTCCTTCCACTATGTGGGTCCCAGAGATTGAACTCAGGTCATCAGGCTTGTCAGCAAGTACCTTTACCTGCTGAGCCTTCTCACTGGCCCCCAGTACTAATAATTGTTTTGTTTTGTTTTTGAGATAGAGTCTCACTATGTAGCCCTGGCTGGCCTGGAACTAACCATACAGACCAGGCCGGCTTCAAATTCACATAGATCCACCTGCCTCTACCTGCTGAATGTTGGTATTAAAGGAATGCATCACCATGTCCGACCAATGCTAACAATTCTTTATTCTTGCCATGTGCCGTCACTGTGCCACACATCCTAAGCGTACAGGCTCATAAAATTCTCACGCCAGTCCCGTAAGGTAAGTACAATGACTCCATTCTACAGGTGAGAAAACTGGTGTGTAAAGAGAGATGACAAGGGAGGGGCTATACAGGTTTCCAATCCGGGCAATACAAGAAATTTTGTCAACTACAATGTTCCACTCCTAGACATTAGCAACCACTTAGTGGGCTAGGCGCTGCAACAGGCACTCTGCAAGCAGTATTTCACCTAATTCAGAGGCAGAGTTCAGTCAACAGCCGACGCTCAGAAGTTTCCCAAAGTTGCCAAGTGCAGCTGACCGCCTTAGGGAGTGGACACCTCCGGGCTCACTACCCTGAGCGTGAGAAGTCTCCCTGCAGCTTTTACTCTGCCACAGTGTCCCAAGGCAGATCAAAAACCCGCGTAGAAGCCCCTCAAACCCTGTCCACGCCTGCCCTAACTGTCCTGAGCAGACATCAAAGTTCCCCCGGGCTGGCCCGAGTCTGAAAGCTCTAGGTCACCCCCTTGCCCATCTCCGCAACCCCAGCAGAGGGTCTTGGCTTAGCACCCTGACTGATGGGCGGCGTGGGGGAGGGGGAAGCACGGAAGGCGCATGCCCAGACCGCCCCATTCGCAGACAGCTCACCTGAGAGTCCCGGAACTCGACCACCACGTTCTCGCTGCTCCAACGCGCCGCCATCTCCTCAGCAGGACCGCCGGGTACCCGGCAGGCGTCTCCTCCAAGCCCCGAGATTCCCGGGGCTCCTAGAGCCCCAAGCCGCCTTACTAATCAATCCGTCTCCGCTCCGCCCCCATGCCTGACCGCAGCCCATTGGCTAACCCAAGAATGGGATCCGCCCCCTCTGCTGTCTTCTCCAATAGCGGGACGCGCCTGCCCCCAACAGACACGCCTCCTATCCCTTCCGTCATCAATGTGAGTCACCCACGCTTCCTGCGACTGCGGACACGCCCCCTGTCGCCCGCTCTGTCGGGAATTGTAGTCAAGATGGAGTACAGCGTGGGTGACCCGACCTGGCAGGTCGGACGCCTGTGGTCTTTGCTATCTTCCCGCTGGTTCGTGTCCCTCGTCTTCTCCCTGTAAACGACACGGACATTCGATCCAACGGAAAACACGTCTTCTGATGCCTGCCATCAAGGCTTTGAAAAGACTGAATGCACAATTTATTGGGTCATACAGTATTGCCTCCCAAGATTTCTGGGACTCCTGAAGGTCTCTGCGACACCTGCAGTGAGTGAGAGGTGGAGGACGGTCTCCGAAGATAAAAAACAATATTTATAATCCCACTTTCATAATTCTGTCACTCTTCTCCCACCAGTGTACAGTAACGTTCCTCCTGAGGCTATTTGGTACTGAATACAGAAGCAGGGATGCAATTGTTTTCTAGTAAGTCAAACAGTAAAAGATTTGTCACTCTATTCGCTAACATGATTTTGGCTCTGGAAGACGTAGGGGTTTTTTTTTGTTTTGTTTTTCATTTAAGCTGTGTAATGTTAATGATAATTACTGTTTTACTGTGAGTTTTTAAAATGCTCGGTTCTTTAATATTTTATTTATTGATTTAATTTTATGCGTAGGAGTGTATTGCCTGCATGTATGTAAGTGCACCCGTGTCGTGCAGAGCCCTCGAAGGTCAGAAGAGGACGTTGGATTCCCCTGGAACCGGAGTTACCGACAATTGTCAGCCATGTGAGTGCTGGGAATCGAACCCAGGTTCTCTACAGGAGCCGCCAGTGCTCTTAACCACCAAGTCATCTCTCCAGCCCTTTGGTCCTTATTTCTAATAGTTACTATCAATACATTAGCCCACATAAGCATTTTTTGGAGTCTTTGATATTTTTTGAGTGTGAAATAAAAAAAGAAAAAGGGAGGGCTGGAGAGATGGCTCAGCAGTTAAGAGCACTGGCTGCTCTTGCTCTTGTTGGATTCCCAGCACCCACATGACAAATAACCATATGTACCTCCAGTTCCAGTGGATCTGGTGCCCTCTTCTGACCTCTGCAGGCACTGCACGACACGGATGCACTTACATGTGTGCAGTTAATGCACTCATACACAAAATAAATTTAAAATAAAAATAATATTTTTTAAAGAAAAAGGTTTGAGAACTATTGTGTTAGTATGGTAGGTAGTAGTTAACATCTCTTCAATCCCACTTTTCAAATCCTGTTGTTTGAGACAGGGTCTCCTGTAGCCCCAGCTGGCTTTGAACTTGCTATGTAGACCAGGCTGGCCTTGAACTCACAGAGAGCCACCTGCCTCTGCCTCCAGAGTGCTGGGACTAAAGGCATGCACCACCATGCCAAGCTCTCAAATCCTGGTTTAACTGGCTTTACAGCACTTTCCCTGCAGTAGAGGAAATGGCTTACCTTATTTGGTGGTTGGAAGGGACTAATACATGGCCTGACATGTTATAAAGGCTCAAGTATAAACTATTGTTATTGTCAATATTATCACTATTTCTATGTGTATGTCATTTCATGGATGAGAAGGGGTGGCTTCTTTCCTCTGGAAATGTTGTTTATAAAAGTGAAGACAAACTTGTGGGTAGGTGAGGGTGACCATCATCTCTCCCTTCTCTGCCTAGGACATTCCAGGTTTTAGCATTATGTCCAGGAAAAGCTCCTTCATCCCAGAAAATTCTTGGCACCAGGAAACCTGGGGCCATTAGTCCCTCTACAGTAGATATACACTTGTCAGAATGAATTATACATTATAGTAGACTTGCAAGCAATATTTCAAGAGGGAATAACCTAAATGGGGGGCCTAAAATGGTACCTTGAAGGTGACATTTGAGTTTTTCAGTACATTTAGATTTTGATAGGATACACTATCAAAAAAAATGGACTTCATTAAGAGTGTGAACCAAGACCTTAAAGTGGGAAGAGTAGGTTGTGTTCCAAAGAGACAAAGCTGTTCCCCAATTAACTCTCTCTCAGGGAACTGTGCTTCAAACTACAGATCACAGCTTAATTCGATATTTATTTATTTATTATTTATTTATTTAATCTCTTCAAACTGCAGGAGGACAGGAACCTGGTTCATTTTATTGGGTTCTGCTCGGTGACTGCATATACAGGCTACTCCATGAAATTTTCCCAAGAATGAACACAAGTGGTAGATAGATACTCATGACCACAGAGAGAGCTGTCTGTGTCAGAAGGACACTTTCTATTTAACCAAAAGTAACTTCAAAACCATTCAAGTCCATTGTGTTTAATTTGAAACAGAGAATCACCCATCCTTCTCCTGATGCTTTCTTTCCCATCCACCTATCAGGTTTTTCACACACACACACACACACACACACACACACACACACACGCACACACACACACACTGGAACTCTAAAAACAAAACCTCCTAGAGGGCTGGAAAGATGGCTCAGCGGTTAAGAGCATTTGCTGCATAATCATGAGGAGCAGAATTTGGATCTCAGCCCCCATGAAACACATCCAGCATCCAAGGTACAACAGCATCCAGGGTACAACTATAACCCCAGCTCCAAGTCAAGTGGAGACAGGAGGATCACTGGAGTTTGCTGGCTTCTAGCCTGAGAAAACACAATCCAAGGTTCAAAGAGAAACTGGCTTCAAAAGAATAGGTAGAGAGTGATAGAGGAGAACACCCAGTGCCCTCTTCTGATCTCTGCATGTGCACAGGCACATGCCCAAATACATACACACATACATTAAAGAAAAACCTCTAGAGCCAAGAGTAATACCAAGTCCCAGTCAATCCCAGCTCTCAGGGTACATTATGAAAGAAAGATCACCAGGGGGTTGGGAGATAGCTTAGTGTTTAAGAGTGCCTGCTGCTCTTCTAGAGGGCTCAGGTTTGGTTCCCAGCACCTACATGGGGCAGCTCACAACAGCTTGTAACCCCAGCTCCATGGGATCCAACACCCTCTTGTAGCCTTGGAGGGCACTCACACACATGTGGCATAAACATACACACATATAAATAAAAATAAATCTTTAAAAGGGGGGGAGGGAATCCCTTGAGATCAGGAATTAGGCCAGACTCTGTAACATAGTGAGACTTCTTCATCCCTAAACAAGAAGTTATTGTAACCTCTACCTCCACCCTCTAAGAGCCTTTCTCTCTGTCTCTCTCAGTGCCTCCCCTTTTCCATTTCTCTATCACAGAAGACAAGGACTGCTCTGAGGAAAGCAGCCAGGCTGACTTCAAAATATAGATCCTTCCTCAACCTCCTAGGTACTGGGATGGCAGGCATGTTCCACCATACCCAGCTAAAATAAGTAACACATTATGTACCTGTTCATGAAAACACATCAAAATTAATGTTAATTTATCTAACATAACATGTTCTTTTAAAAAAAGTTTTACCTGCATGTATATAAGTGAACCACATGTGTGCAATTCCCATAGACGCTAGAAGAGGGCATCAGATCCCCTAAAACTGGAGTTATAAATAGTTGTTAGTCTACATGTGGGTGTTGGGAACTGAATCTGGGTCCCCTGAAAGAGCAATCAGTGCTCTTAACCACTGAGCCATCTCTCCAGCCCCTCATGACATATTCTTATTTGCCTAATGGCTGGAGGTAGTAAATACTGGATAAGCCTGCTGAATGAGTGCCTAGCACACAGTCAGGTATGGTTCATACTTAAGAGTACATGGCAGGGGGGCTGGAGAGATAGCTCAGCAGTTAAGAGCACTGGCTGCTCTTGCAGAGAAACCGGGTTCAGTTCCCAGCACTCACATGGTGGCTAGCAACCATCCTTAACACCAGTTTTGGGGGATCCGACTCCCTCTTCTGACCTCTGACGGTATTGCATGACATGGGCGCACTTAGGTACATGCAAGGAATACACTCATATACATAAAATAAAAATATTTTTAAAATATTTTTAAAAGACTGTATGGAAGGATGTCAAGAGAAATACAGCCAGAAAAGTTGGAAAGAGCTAGTTAGGAAGCATCCTGATTGGATGTTTAAATTTGGTTTGGGGTATAGGTACTAATAAAGATATTCCAAAACTCGGTCTATCCACAGGTAATCTAGTTCCCACCAAATGAGTGGGATCACTCTTGCGTCAGCATTTCTGCAGTACTTCCCTGACTCTTAGCTGCTCTGTTCACATTTCTCCAGTCCTCAAAATCTTTTCTTATTTTTAAAGACAGGGTCTCATGTAACCGAGACTGGCCTTGATCTCATTGCATATGTACCTCAAGATGATCATGACCTGTTCCTGGTACCTCCACCTCCCAAGTGCTGCAATGATGGCCATGTGCTACCATGCCTGGCTTCCAGTTCTCAAAACTTGCATGTTCTGGGCTGTAGGCACAGGAAGTACTTTGAGTTTCAGGTCCTTGCTCTTCCCTGTTCTCTCAATGTTGTCTTCCTTAAATATGGAAAGAACTTTGAAGAGACAGAGCATTTGCACCTTCCCAATTGCCTTCTCAGGGCTCTCCCCTCTATTCTACCCACACTGTGTCCCACCCACAATGTCATGTCATAGCACTGCCATCAAAGACTGGGGGCTCTGAAGTCAACCCAAAAGCACTCTGGCTGCTTCTTTGCTGTGCACTTCTGAAATTCATAAGTGAGTATCCTATCTGAGGCGGAGGCTGGGGACCACTGGAATCCTTGTCAACTAGACTGCAATTTGCTGACCAGACAACAGGGCTCTCATCATCCTGCCTTTTCAGGTCGTCACTCAACTAGCCAAGACACAGGAAAGCATGCTACACCGCAAACTCAGAAATCTAGGGCCTTGGCTGGCTTTTACCAGCAGTGAGGCAAGCAATTTCAATATAACTCTTTTTTTA